GGAAGAGAAGTTCCATTTCCAACAATTAAAATATACTCTGAATTCTTGTATTTAAAATTTTATTCAATATTTCTCAAATGCATCACTTTCCTATTCATATTTCCCACGGATATCACACATACATATATGTAAATTCGTAAAAGTGATGGAATTTTCTTATAACCATAAATTTCATTTCACTCTTAAATAATTCAGAATCAGTGCATTCTCGCTGAACACTGATAATCGTCGCATCTACATTTACTGATTTTCGTAATGTTTTGCATAGTGAACAGAATTAGACCGAATTCTCGACAGTTGGGCTACAGTGAAAAGTGAAGGTACGAATTATCATGATTTGTTTAATCTGATAGTTAAGATGGTCATAACGATCTTTCATACCTTCATTTATATGTTCATAGTACTTAATGATGCACCTACTGATTACTTACAAGTTTAAAAGTTGAAGCACTACATGATGGATGCCGCGTGTTCTGAAGACTGCGGGAAATTTTAATAAGAAATTGCCTCAGGTTACTTTTGATGTCTATGTAAGTATGATATAAGGAAAGTAATCAGAATAAAACTGTGATGCTCTTCTTCTTGATCGATCATATTGCGCTTTATGAAATGCTCAAATGCATCCCAGTCGATAATTTTATGATTATAACCTACGCTTCTAGGCTTTCTTGACTGAAAATTTCATGCTTCTTTACGTCTTTCCTTCCACTCATATAAAGCTGCCTTGCTAATTTTAAACCTCTCGGCAACATCTGCTATGCTTTTTCCTTCATCTAAAGTTTCCATTGCTTTCTCAAGTCCTTGTTTCCTTCCTCGCCCTGAATATTTGCATACCACTAAATATGCTCTTTCTTTCATATTTAGGAAGAATTCTCGAATCAACATTTCAGGTCGAACAATCTGAGTACAATTGATCTCCTTAATATTGTTCCCTAATTTAGTTCTTTCCACTGGTTTCTGATTTTGGGATCAACCCGTTAGATTGCAATTTCTATTCCTGATTATGATATCTGTCATTCAAGCAGCTATTACTACCTCCGTATTGTCCAATTTTGTATTATGATATTGTTAATATGATATTCATTCGATTACTATGAAAAAACTTTGAACTACTTTTATAAATTCATAAAAAATAAATCGAATTAAAGCATATAACAACGATCATTCGGTTAGCTGATGCCCTGATTGAAATATTCTTCTCAGATCATGTTCAGAATAGTTACTACCGCAAAATAGGATGAACCAAGAATAATTAATTAAAAGTGAAACATGACAGTGGCAAGTATAATTAGGATAATAAACTAAAGTAAAAATTTAAAAAAAAAAAGGCAGCAAAAATGAATTGGCTTTCAGAATTCGCAGTCTTGCATTAAGGCAATGAAAGTGGATTATCCCGTCCTGAAGATTTACTCCATCTTGTTGTGTCTTCTTTTTTCTCCTGTTTCTTTTTTTTCTGTTGATTCCGACAATTTTCCACCGGATTTTGAGTGAAGACTCGAGCATTGCAATTAAATCATGAGAATTCGAGATTTGTTTTTTAGAAATTCGAATTTTTTTATGCGAAAGAATTTATTTGCAATAATTTAAAGGAAAAACGATGGTACTATTATATGTTAACCAAAAATACTGAACATAACCCAAGAAAAATAAATCGAATGGTAGGATATTGTATCATTGAACTTCACGAAATATACAATTTTTAGAGAATATAGCTTAATTATATTGAAGGACGGTAAGTGGTCATTAATGGTCGTAAATTAACTAACCTGGTTTTTATCAAATTTTACAAAACCATAGTAGCCGTCTTATTGTATTTCGGAAGTTGCTAGATAAAGACATAGGAAACCACAATACATTCATTTTGAAATACCAACCAGGATGATCGTTAAACTTTGCCAAAAATATTAAATTAAAGGTTCTTGGAGGGTTTACATATCAGAATTTACTTTTCTGAATTGAAATAACAGTTGCATCTCAATGTCAATAAGCATTTAAAACGATTTTCGATTTCAAATCATTTTGAGTTTGTTAAACAAAATCTGTCTTTTCATTCCTTATCACACTACTTTAATGTTTGATATAGCAAGAACTGTTCAAAACTCGATACTTTGAACTTTACCATGAAACTTTACTATTTTAGTTATCTTTACTTGTCGTAAAATTAATTAAACATTTTATTAATGAAATTTATTTATAGATTGGTTCTGCATTAAAAGGTTCGAGTAATCTATTACTACTATTGTCGGCTTGCATGATATTTCATCACGAACATCGACTGTGCATTTCGATACACCTCCTTCTACATGGAAGCTCATCGGTGGTTATTACTCTCTTTGATGTCAAGTGATACTTATTTGATATTACAGGTTATGATGATTTGTTCAGTAGCATACTGTAAAATTTGCCATTGCCTTAATAGGAATGGAAAAATGTGTTGTTTTATAATTGGCTGACAAGGAAATATTATTATCAAAGCAAAACAATGTCACCTCACTAATGAAGAGAATAAGTTATGTACCCAATTAAGCATAATCCCAACAATAGATTTGATTAATAGTGCTCGAATGCTGCTATCTACCTATACTTTTCGACGTGGTTTTGTCGGAAAAGCTGTCGCACCGTTGGTGAACCTATTATCCAAATCTGGCAGTGCGAAAGGGCAATGCTCCAATCTGATTTGGGCAAGTTGCGCATAGAAGGATGATATGACAAATGGATAAATGACGTAAACTTCTCCTATTTAAACGTTTCTCAGTAAGACGGGTTTTTCAGATTTGTTTTTGGTCCTTGTTTTATTGTTGAAAAAAAAAACCGAGTAGTACAGTAAGCGCTTTATTATCTCAGGCAATATTTTTTTGCAATTAAACCATGCTCGATATAATCTTTATTGTTGTATTAATTTTGCATACAGTAAATGTGACATATTTTTAAACTTTTTTTGTTCAATCATTTGATCATCAAGGAGTAACAATACGTGTAAAATAAATACATCACCTTTATACACTAGCTTGCATTTCAGGCTTCAATCATATTATAGTAAGTTGTCTAATTAATTCTTTGTGATAATTTTAAGCGTAACAAATGTAAAATGCAACACTTTTGGCATTTATTCAAACTGGAAACACGAACTTCGGAATGCAAATGCGGCTACAAACGATAAAGAATTTCGTTTGGATTTATCAACGACTATTTTATTGTTTGCTTGTTATTTATCGTACTGACCAACGCAACATATTCTGGATTAAATGGCTAAGATGAACAAGAGAAGGAGACGAAAGGAATTGAAATGACCGCTTCTATTGTAGAGGGACGAGGTCATTTCGACTTTTTTTGTTTACTTAAAGTTCCTGCAGGATCATGGTTAAATTTCCGCCAACATTCGAATGACTTGCTTAATTTTGTCTATAATTAATTTTTTTTTTCATGTCTATTTGTTAATTTACAAATATAATTGGTCCAAGAGTCATCACTTTTGGATCTCACATTACACTGGTCATTTTGTAATGAATATCGTGTTTGTAAAGTTAATTCTGCATTGTTCTCGGTATTTTTGTTAGAGTAAAAGATTAGAAAGAATCACTTGCACTGACATGTACGCTCTTTTTTACCCTTTTCCTTGAAAGATTGATTTGACGGAATTTGTATAATTTGTATCAGATGAAATATCAAACCTGATGGAGTTAAAGGATTAGTTGGTAAATTGTATTATATTTTAGATTAAAAACTGGTGGGAAATTTGGCACAACGCAATTATTTTCTTTTAACTTTTATAATTTACTGAGTTCATCTGTTGATGTGACTATAACTTCTGTCGATACTTATGCATTACTTTAATTGTTCAAACTCAGAATCAACCAAACATTCATGATGTTTGTGTTGTTAGCAGAAATGCGCTGGGCGGTAAATTATATAACAGAATATTTTTGTTGAACTCATTTTCAGCGAGTGCATTCAGAGAGCATGAAATTTCTAAATTTTTCAAAAGTGTGAAAATGCATTTTCTATTAGAAATGAGTTAAAATTTACTTCAGGAATCCCGATTTTTATTTAAATCGCTAATATTTGGCACAAATAAATGAAAATTTCGAAATAATGCTGTTTATATTCAAATTGATGAGAATTTCAGAAGAGTAGAAATATTTTTCTGTTTACTCATTACTGTTTGAGTACGATGCTTTAAGCTTGATAACTAGACTTCTACTGGATAAATGCGCATAAATCAAACTAGATTATCTATTTAAAATCCGAAACTGAATTCTATGCTACATGAAAACTCATGAAATACTTTCTGATAGTTTTCGTTGGCAATCTTTTCATCGCTCGGATAATTGCTGCTAGATAGTATTTAAAATGGATTGTATTTATACTTACCAAGGCTATTAAGAAATGATGTCTAGAAATGTCAAATTCATTAATATGGTTCCTTGGAGTTACATGGAAGCGCTAAAGTTAAGGTCGTTGGAAGAAGACCAGTGATTTCATGCATGATGATAGGTGGCATATCCGTTTGTGTTGATCGCTGTCTCATTCGTTGTACATACTGTGATCACGAAAGCAAACGTTGTGTTAACGAATGGTTGCATGGATAAGTGTGATCTGTGGCCAGGAATTACAGATCGAATTGTCTCTTTCGGTTTCATTACATCTCCTCTTACAATAATATATGAAAAGTCCTGTGGGATCGCAGTTGTTTATTAGAATTTTCAGCAACCTTCATTATGATTTTACTTTCCATAAATGGCAAAATACTTTCATTATAGATGGAGCTGATGTTATCATTTCTATCATCGTTGACATTATCTCTCGTCCATGTTTGACGAGATTTTCTTGATATTGAGGCGACTTCAACTATTTTTGCGGGGGATTTTCATGTAATCTCTTACTGTCGTACCGTTTTTACAATTCTGCATAATAATACTTTCATCTTGGATGGATGGGGCTGATATTATCATTTCTATCACCGTTGACACTAGTAAATGAAAAATGCACATTTTCTGATAATCACTGCTTTCATGTTGCAATGCTGTCTGATGTTGGTTCCAACGTTGTCATTAATGAAGTCTATGAAGATGTCATAGTTGATTGCGTTGTGCATCTTGCATGTTTATAGGACATACTAGTTCAATATGCTTGTTCAAATAACTTTTCAACGCAAACATTTTTCCACAACTAGGACATTCGTATTTCTTGATACCTGCAATAAAGGTGAAATCTTAGGTTCTTGATGGAAAAGAAGTTATCGATAACAAATAAATGACGAAAACGTTGATGAAGTTGCTAAGCCGAAGAGATTTCAGCATTTTTCACTTCCTTAATAGATATCGAAATTTAGAATTTGCAGAGGTTTCGGATCTGGTGGGATGCTAATCAGGATAGAGGAAAGTGGAATAGTATCAGAGTGAAATAGGATGGAACAGAGAAGAAAGTATTCCGATTACTCAATAATTTCATGACTTTATGTTAGAAGAATTACTCATTTTAGCTTGAAAAATGGGGATTGATTGGTCGATGATTCTTTAGAGGAAAATAACACGAACATTAATCTCTGCACAGTGAAGCGTATGATAATTTGTTAGCATATATGTTAGGTAAAATCATGCAAAAATGAAAGAAGTTTAAAGAGAGGAGCTGCTAACTTGTAGCTTATTTAATCCTACTTCTTTAGACTTTACTAAGATTGCATTGTTTGCAACATTCTTTTAGCAATTTGTCATAATGTTGTGTCCTTCAAAACTTCGTTCGTTTTGACCAAAAAATTGAGGATTTTAGCTCTAGAAGATTTCGGGAAGTATGTAGAATAATTTTAATAGTGTAGGATCATTGTTAAAGCAAAAAAAAAAGACTTACCGGAATGAGTATGCATGTGAGCACGAAGATTGCTACGATCAGCGAAAGCTTTACCGCAATGCGCACAACCGTAGGGTTTTTGACCTGTATGAGCGCGCATATGACCTTGCAAAAGCCATGGTCGTGAAAATGTTTTACCACATTGTGCACATTTATGTGCCGCTTTGTGTGTCAACATGTGCATGCTACAAATTTTCGATGCAGTCAGTGTTCAAAGCTTGTCACTCACAGGTAAATTCATTTTTTGGAGCATATGATCTTGATCTCCTCTATAAGATTACAAAAATTTTGGAAGAACTTGGAATGAAAGTTCACTGTTCTGTTTCCCGTAAACTCCTGATTTAAAGAAAATCTGGAACTAATATGACATTATCTTTAGGATAAAAATCAATACTGCTATACCTGAGCGCAGGCATGCTAACGTAGATCCGTTCACAGTTTGGGCACTGTTTCGCATAGGGGCTGTCCAACGGTCGATGTGTTTGTTTATGCCGTGATAAATTTGATGTCGTTGCATATGATTTACCACATTGATTACAAGTTAACCTACTTGATAGGCCAGTGGTTGAGGTCTAGAAAGTGGAAAATATTTGCATCTTGATGATGTCTTCGCAAAACATCACATTTCATCACAGTTTAAACATTGTTTTGTGAAGTTCAATTGATAAGATTAACATGTTATAAACACTGAATTACAAGGTGTAAAGCGAACCTCTTTATCAGTCCTCAATTCTTTCCTACGTTTCGATCGTCCATCTGTTGATTGCAGAGCATCAAGCGTATATCTTGTTGTACCGCCTTCGCAGATTTGAACATTTGAAGTGGAAAGTTCCATTTGAAAAAAATTGAAATATGTAGGATATCTTCCCAGAATGACTTAAAAAGTTAGAAAATGACAATTACGGAAAACACTTGCTCACCTTGGGAAAACTGCTTTCTGGTAATTTCATATTCAGGGTAGTTCTGGATGAATTCGTTTTACCCAATAAACTTTCTATTGAAAATGCATCGACTTTACAATTCCTTGCCTAAAATATATGAGACTAATGGTCCTTATGTCAGTCCCAACTATAAATTTCTCTTTAAATTATTCTAATTTTAAAGAAAGCAAGTACACCTTGTTAGGTGTACAAAGTAAATATTTCCTACAGATGTATCTTTCTTTTCAGTAATTCAAATAATAAATCAGCTTAATAAGCATAAATATATAACATAGACATAGGTTAGAAATAAAAATGACTGATACCTTGCTTCGATGAAATAAGGTATAATTCATTTTCGACCCACCAAATTTAAAGTCTCTGTTGTCAAGGAACGAAGATCTTAAAAAGAAATAGTAGGGGAATATAAATTGCGGTACGCCTATTTATTTTCAACTGATCTCTTTCAATAATTTTGAATCCTTTCATTTGTTTGTTCAGCATGAAATTTGTCATTTTAACGTCCAAATTTTTTATTAATAAAAGAATCGAGAAAAAATTATTAGTAAGCTACCGAGTCATTCTTAAACCTAGGAGGAACTGAAGAACTGTTCAGTCATTCATTGTATTGGTTTACTGAGTTTAAGAAGCTATGAATCATAGATTTTGAGAGTGGAGCTCAGAAGGTGTGCTCGACGAGTAAATCTATTGCATCTAACTGCTCATTACTGTGACATCAGTGGTTGAAACTAATGAAGTATTATACACAACGGACATATGCGCTGTGTTGTTCAGACCTTTTTGTTTAGCTTCAAACAAATTCTCTGGGTAAGATCTGACGATTGAACGGATGGGAGGAGTGCTTTCAGATGCAAATAGTGGCAGTTGCAGTAGCTCAGCGCTTAAGGTGGATTTCCTTCCTTCCTGGTGTCATGGGACATAATTGGTGTTGCATGCATCGGGCGGGCACTCGCTTCATGCAATGATCTCAATTATTTGGACCTGCGAACTTTCGGGAATAATTTATATTGTTCGCATTATTTTATTTTTAAAGTTTTAATAAAATACTTTTTAATATAAAGCCAGAACTATTGTGATATGATAAATATTTTTAGTTCAAAATGTAACTGAGATAAAAAGAATTATTATCTGATATATAAGGAACCTCTGGCTTTTTATATGATAAAATGAGTTCACAAAGCATAGTTTAAAAAAATATTTTTCGTGAGTGTATTTTACTCATTCTTTCCAGTTATTGGAGCCTAAAGTTTCTTAATATCCATTACTGGATCTATCCAATCATTCAAATCAACGTTCCTTCAAATGCTAATGGATTGTAACCCGTGGAATCGGCTGTCTTTAAACGATTCGTTTTCAATTAAGTCTATCGATAGTGAATAAATTACTCATTTTTCCTTATCTTAAGACAGTATACAATCGACTATTTCATTACTTATTAATTTAAACACCTTTTTATTTTTCGATGACCCCTCTTCATTACTTGAAGTACTGGGCAAACATAATGATTGACTGACCGTTTCTGTCTTACCATGTCCATTTTGCAAATGCATGTTTAAATGTGGTGCCAATCCTGAAAATGGTAGTAAAAGAGATGTTGTTTTGATGCCTTGTCAGGAGAACCGAGAGTTGATTATTTGGTCATTAACTCCAAGCTGCTTCTCATTCTTCGTCTCTACGATAGTAATTTAATCATAGTTCAAGAAATTCTGTTTTCTTGCCATATATTTTCAAATATATGAATAAATTATCGAATATGCAGATAAACAAAAAAACAACGGAATGGATTATTAAAATGTGAAAATTCTGGACCAATAATTAAATAAATGGAGAATAAAGTTTTGGTATCAATGTGAAAAACTTGGAAATGAAGTAAATGTTAAATACAAAACAAACGGAATGGCAAGAATTTTCTAAGATTTCCGTTAATTTCAGATTCAAATCCGTTTGCACTAGCATAAAAGATTTTTCTTACAACTGTTATTCCTTATCAAGTAAATTTTGTAACTCACTGCATATTTCAGTGTTGATACATTTTGTAAGAGCACTTTTAGAGGGCTCGATAGATGGTCGTGAGAATACGGGTATTGCCAAGTGAGATAGTAAAGAGGGAGTAAATAATTTTGATCCGGATTCGGCATCATTTGTGAAAGCCAGATTAGGAGAGGAGAGAGAAATTTGATTCTGGAGTGCATGCTTCAAGGAAGTTGGATGCAACCTTGGAGAGAAATACCATTCATCCAAAATTGTAGCATGTGTCGTTGCTGGTGACGGCCAGTTTGACATTAGCGGTTCTGAAATTTGAAAGCTCAAATATTGCACAAAGTATATGGTGTAAATCCCTTCAGTAGAATCCTTTATCAGCGAAATCTTTCAAATACGAAAGGCAAGGCATTTCGAAATTCAAATTTCGGTTCATTGCAGATCGTGTTCAAGAAAGAAACCGGATTCTTTTCTGAAGTTTTAATATAAAAAGATTCTCGAGATTCATTTGAAACACTGAAATATCCATTTCTCATTCAATTAAAGTTGGAGAAAATCAGTGTCTAGAAGTCTTTTTGTTTCAAGCATTTGTATTCCAACGAATCAAAGTTATAAGAATAAATTTTGGAAGCAAGTTAACTACTGTTGAGCCAAGCAAATGATGGCCATCTTCTTTCATATATGACCCTCCTTCCTAGCTTTCATACAAATTTCTTCTTAAGTAACGTTTGCTGGGATGGGTTGGAGAAGAGAGAATAAGTGTGGATGGTTAAATAAAGGGGCGTCCCACCATGGATTAGGCTTCTTATTGGTTGACCTGTCCATGCACAATTGCTTTTCACTTTTCCAAAATTATGCATTTCCTGAAAAAGAGGAAGAGAAAGACGTGGTATACAGAACGGGATCCATGCTACTGAATGAGTACTTTTCCGGTCTTAGCTTCCTCTTTGAATAAGACAAATACTCTCCCGGCATAGAACCATCAATTCCTTCAACAGCGTCCATAAGACAATATACTCATGATGACACGTTTACCATAAGTACTGTTGCAAATTTTGTCACCTGTTATCGCAACACGTATTGATGGTGAACTTAAATTTGAATTTCTTCAGGAAAATCATTCTTTGATACTTCTGGATGACTAACTAGAGTAATGATGATTGAAATCTTGATTCTGAGTCATTCAAGTTGAACATGCTTAAAGATTGCAAAATGAATATTAAACAGATGGATTTGCCGAAGTGGCGATTGCATGGGTCATGCTAACGAAAATGATTGATTACAGTGATGCGAAATGTCTGTTGGCCTGGTGGTATTGTTTTGTCATTGAATTCGCCGCTGTTTATCACCAATTTTTTAATCGCACATATGGTCACAATTAGCGCAAAAAAAAATATACAGTATTATTAGATTATCACTAGTGACGTCTCATGAATCCGTAATATGTTTAAAAGCACCTTTGTTGGTTAACTTATCATCTAATAGCGATTTCAATTCTCTGTTCCTTTCGAGAAATGTTTAAGAATCAGTTTTCTGAGCATTTCAATTACTTTTTTAATTGTCGTCCTTCGACAATCAATAATAAGGACAAATTTTAACAATTTAAATGTTTGCAAAATCTCTGTAGCCTTATCTGGCTTAACATTTCTCCTTTTTCAAACTAGACCACAAGCCGACACAAACGTTTATGGATCTCCTGGTCAAGCTGTCAAATCATGCTGTTCAATCCATCTGCTGCCTAGTGCGACTTCTTTATTATATAAATTCTGAAAAAGCTAGCAGAATTCAAATGAACCATCTTTGTAGACTTTTTTCACTGGATGAAATGGCTGACCCTGCAAATCCGGCTTGAAAGCCCCGTGATCTTCAACTAATTGCTTGAGTGGTTCGATTGCATCAAAAGCGTCATATGATACAGCAATAACCTCAAGTCTTGTTGTTCCTGTATACTTCTCACTCATCTCATACTAATCTTGAAGAACACCTGTACCTGTATCAATCCTTCCTCATACCTCTCGTCTGTCCACTCTAGCAACCTTCAATTATAAGTCATACACGATCCTTAGCCTAATATCCGGTTCTTGCATCTCATAATTTTTGGTAATTAAACAATATTTATGCAGCAAAAAGTTGTATAAACATGCTTCATTTATTACAACCTCACAATAACTCACAGAATTTGAAGCGGAGAAAGCGAGATAGGAACAGATTTATCAAATAAATGTTTCAGAATATTATTAATATTCTTTTTTTTATCATTTTATTCTGTTGAAATCAATAAATCCATGAAATTTGTGTAGCTATGGGAGATTATTGTTGAATTTCAGCAGAGAGTCAGCATTTGTGCATCGTTGAGATCTGCTAGTAAAACTCACATTGAAGATGTACGAACAAAGAAAGCAATACGTTATTTCTTGGCTAATATTCGGTATTGTTTGCTTTATAATATTAGCTACAGTAATCCTACGAAAAAGTGTGCAGATGGTTGTTGCGGGTTGTCGCAGGTGTTGACCCCTACGGCCTCCAGACGTTGTTGCATCTACCGGAATATCATGGAAAAAATAACGGTCGGTAATATTATTCTTAAGGCTTATTTCAGGTAAAGTAATCTGTTAGAGGTAGCAGGGATGAATGATCAATGGTGGGGGAAGGAATGCTAAATTTAAAAAAAAAANAAAAAAAACAAAAAAGAAAAAGAAAATTAGGAAGACGGAAAAGGAACGAATAGAAAATAGAAGACCGAGAGATTGGATGAGTTGTATCAGACTAGAAAATTGAACCGTTGTCCACTGTTGGCAGATGTCACTTAGTTACAAGTACAATGAGACAAAGGTTATATTGTC